ATGTTTTAATATACGTTTTTTTTTTTTTATTTAAGTTTAAAGGGTGTCCGAGGGGATGTTACTGTAAATGGCGAAGAAAGGCGTTTGGATAGTTTCCGAAGATTGTCTTGCTATATCCAACAAGATGATCGTTTGCAACCGTTGTTAACAGTGGATGAAAACATGCACGTTGCTGCGAATCTCAAGCTCTCTATGGACAAGACTCAAAAATATAAAGATGCTGTGGTAAGACATTTTTAAGATTTAAAATACAAACATTTACAAAATGATGGGTAGAGTTTTGTTTTACGTAGGTGAACGAAATATTGTCTACGCTGGGTCTTGATAAATGTAAGGCCACTAGAACCGCGAGATTATCCGGTGGTCAAAAGAAAAGACTTTCAATAGCTCTAGAACTAATAAACAATCCAATGGTCATGTTCCTAGACGAACCAACGACGTAAGAATAACAATTTTTTACATTGCTATCACCACTGATTATTATTACTTTTGTTTGTTGAACAGAGGCTTAGACAGTTCTTCATGTTCTCAATGTATATCACTTCTACGATTATTAGCTCACCAGGGTAGAACCATAATATGCACAATCCATCAACCTAGTGCATCACTATTCCAGATGTTTGATCAAGTATATATTCTATCGCAAGGCACATGCTTGTACCAAGGATCTACTGGAAATTTAATACCATACCTCTCAAAACTCGAACTGCCCTGTCCCATCTATCACAATCCAGCTGATTTTGGTAAAATAATAGAATACAATAGTACGTCACCTTCTCTATATTTATCTTAATGAGCTGTATAACATAGTGATCGAATTGGCTTGCGGTGATCATGGAAACGACAAGATCGAAAAAATGGCAAAAGAAATTGAAAATGGGAAGTGTTTAACATGGACGGGACATTCTGATTTGCTAGCCATCAATAATGACGCACCTTTGGGTATTGAGCACTGTTTTCTTGTTATTATAAAATAATCAAACCTAACCTTTACTGAAATAAAAAGTAAAAATTAAAGACGACGAATTAAAAATCTAAGTATTTAGTTTATATTTTTTCTAGGTAATTAAACACAATTCAAAATATGGACATGACCTACTTTATCATGAAAAATAATGATTAATTAAATATTAAATATTTTAATACTTTTTATTAAACAGGTGGACCTAAAAAAATATCAAAAGAGGTGGATGTCGTTCATGAAACTTCTGCTTATAACCAATTGAAATGTTTGTTRTATCGGGGAATTTTAAAATGCAAAAGAGATCCGGTATGATAGAAATACATTTACTAACAATTAAAAATAATATTAAACGTAGAGGACAATTTTTTTGTAATTTACCAACTATACACTTATATTCTAATAAAAAATAAGTAAATTTTTGTCGAGTTAAAATAATCTTGACTTATTAAGTTGAATAYGATTGAAATTTTATAATTTAGTAATAATTGCTAATATAATATACTTTCCTTTATATTGTAGGTATTAACTTTTTATTTACTATGTTTTCTTATATACCTAAATTAAATATAAATCTGTTTTTATAAACATAAGAAGTAAATATAAATTATTTATATGTATTACGAATAATTGTATAATTTATTTTCTTTAGGATTTGACTTATCTACGAATAGGTGTAAATATAATAGTAAGCTTATTATTAGGTACACTATTTTTACAAATTGGCGATGACGGCAGTAAAATATTTGATAACTATAATTTACTTTTTTCCCTTCTCATGCATCACGTTGGATCAACATTGATGTTAAATATCATTAACTGTAAGTTCTTAATATATTTTATATTAATCTTTAAACGATCGTTAATCTTTTTTAATTTAACCATGTTTCATAAGTTCCTGCTGAAATCTCTATATTGACAAAAGAACATTTTAATAGATGGTATTCATTAAAATCATACTATATCGCTACGAACATACTTGATATTCCAATAACGGTAAGAAAATACTAATTGTTATTTGTTTTAAACTGTAAGCAGTGTTAGTAATACTATTATTATTATTATTCTGTTTTAGACACTTGGCTGTTTGATATTTTCCGTAATCATTTATTTAATGACAGGACAACCATTGGAATGGAATAGATTTGGCATGTTTACATTCATCAGTTGGTTGATGGTTCTTATTTCTCAAAGTTTGGGATTCATTATTGGCGCTTGGTTTAGCGTTATTGTAAGTAATAAAACGAATGTTCATATTATAAATATTTTAGTGACCTTAATCTGTTCATGTGTGATGTACTGATGTAATAATGTTACTGCCAATCGGGCTTAATATTTTTAACTGCTTTTAAACAGTTTTGTGAAAGGTTCAAAGTATACAAATATTATTTTATTCTATTTTTCTCAAATACAATATACCTAACATAGTAAAAAATGAACATAACACTTAGCGAATAGTCTAAACGTAACATTTTAGAATGATAAGCTGTTAAGAAAAAAAAACCTATTCTATATTTCAGCAAATTAATTTCTACTCTAATATTAATATGTAGAATATTAATGATAGATCAACCATTTTCCAAATCAACCAATCGATTTATTTGTTGTATAGATATGCCGAAGTGCTTAACAACTATGATAATAGTATAATCTATAAATTCATAATATTTATTTATTTATTTATTTTTGTTCATGGTACAGCTTCAACTACTAAGGTTGTTAGCTTAATCATAATATTATATTCGCTGGAAGTACCTATTTATATTACATTATGTAGATAAATTATGATAATATTTTAATAAAATAATAAAATAATGCATTACCTATCAGTACRGATGGAATAAAAATTTCACTTTTTATGTAATTCATATAGAACGGCAACTTCGTTGGCCCCATTATCGTCGTTTTGTTGATGGTGTTCAGTGGCTTTGGCGTGAATCTCCGTGACATTCCATATCTATTAAAGTGGGGAACRGAAATATCATTCTTGAGATACGGATTGGATGCATTGGTCGCAGCTATCTATGATAAACGTGGCATTTTGCCATGTTACTCGTTGTATTGCCATTACAAATACCCAACGAAGTTTTTGGACGAAGTTGCAATGACCACTGATAAATTCAACTACGATGTATACGCGCTGGTCATAACGCTGCTGATCACTAGGGTAGCTGCATACTTTTTGCTACGACTTAGAGTCAGATCCAGAGTGTCATTATAAAATCAAGCTTACTTCTTTGTATGAATACAATTAACCTACATAATAATATATAATTTATATATACCTATTGTTGTGAATTTGTCTGAAACATTTTATGTATTTAGGT